GTGCAAGGGGCCTTGGAGCACAGGGTCGGGGGACGAGTTAGCGCTGCAGGCCGCAGCAGCGGCCGGCTGCTGCGGGCGGCGAAGCGCTGCAGCGACGCGCCGCGCCGCAGCACGGCCGTGGCTGCGGCCAGCGCTGCTGCTGCTGCTGCTGCTGCTGCTGCTGCTGCTGCTGCTGCTGCTGCTGCTGCTGCTGCTGCTGCTGCTGAGACCGATCCTGTTGCGGCTGGTGCTGAAGCGACACCCGGCGCTTTTAATGCTGTTGCTGCTGCAGCCGCCGCTGCTGCTGCTGATGCCGCTGCCAACTCCTTTGACCACCAGGGCTGGCACCTGCGCCAGCAGCCGGGCTCAATCAGGGCCGAGCCAATCTATGGGTCCAGTGGGGCCGTTGCATCATGCACTGACGGGCGCCCCGCCCACATGGCTGCCCTTGCGTGCACCACAGGCCGACCCAAGCATATGCATGTATCAAGTGAACCCCAGGGCAAGCCGTACAGCCACACGGCATGCTGCGCATGCCAAGCCGCAGTGCATCGCTCGCATGAAAGCCCTCGACCCCGCCGCCGCCACCGTCGCCGCAGCACAACTCACCCCTGCTCCTTCGCGAGATGGTAGTACTTGTCCAACCGTCCCTTTCCCTTCTTAGCCTTCTTGGCCATGGCGCCCGGCTTCTGGGGTGCTCCCCGTCAGGGGCGCGAGCAGCGCGAGCAGCGGCGCTCCGCCGGGTTGGCGGTCGGCGGCCAGCGGCCGGCGGCTGGGCTTGGCGAGCGGCTGCTGCGCGCGAGGACACAGAAAATTCTACAGAAGTCTTTGCGACGTGTTTACACGCGGCGTGCTTGTCGCGTTCGGCGACCAAAAACACGTACACCTGCTCGCCAAAAGGGGAGCGACTGCACGCACGGAGGACCGCAAATTTATGCTCTGAGAAAATGCCTTGTCTCGATCAGGTTTCCGCAGTAGTGACAATTGGTCGATCTACACTGGGCCGTTCTCACACTCGCGCCGTGGTAAAGCGCCTCTGTTGCAAAGGTGCTTGGGGCGTGTGGGGCTCGTTAATACGATACACCAGGGTGTAGATTGTCATCCTGTCGACGGCGTCGTGGACTTTCCAGCAGCTGCGGTCAACACCTGGCTGACGGCCTGATGCTTTATGATATGTGCACCCACAGTATTAGGGAGCCATACCTGGGCACAGCAACCTTGAACCCCAACTCAATTGCGCATGTGCACATGTCCATCTACTCTGCTTTGAGCACTGAGGTGTAGGGGCGCGCACACGCACACTGTACGAGTGCGAGTGCGTGGCTGCAGCGGCTTGGAACCCTGCGTGCGCTGGGGCTTGCGTGGGGCGTGCAGCGCTGCCCGCTGCGAGGCGCACGCATAAAATCCTGGAGGTCTTGAGGCACCGGTGTCTCTGCCCTCTTCGTTACTTCATCTGTCCACTCGACTGTCGTTTGGCTCTGTCGAGCACGGCTGCTTGGCACTGACTCTCTGCCTCCGCACTCCAGGCCATTTACCTTGCAAGATTCAAGCTATTTATTATTACTGCACCAGCATGACCACACCGATCCGAAAAGAACTCAACACGTGGTGAAAGTGCGTTGGTGTCCGGCCCATGCAAGTGACGTCAGACACACTCAGGATGACGTCAGCAGGTGCACGCAGGAGCCGCAGTCCTGGGGGGGTCCCCCATCCAGCACACGCAGCGACTGCTCCAGGGTGAGAGGGGCCAGCGGAGGGTCATCCAAAAAGCATGCAGGGATGCGGTACGTGGCCCCGGCCGCGCTCCACTTAGCCAGAGCTTTGCGCTACGAGACTCCCAGCGCGCACACTCGAACTAAAGGGCGCCCGCACGACGACGGCATCGCAAGGAGCGGCGTCAAGTCGCGCGAGGGTTGCAGTTTCGATTCACATCAGGTTCGTTCTTTTTCGCATCCTCGGTTCCTGCTATCATCGAAGCGGCGAGCAATGCGTTCACGTCCCGGTTTACGGCAAGACCCCGAAAAACAGATCCCGAAGCTCGCGGGAGCGTGCGCACGGTCGGCGCGCCGCCCGCCCCGCGCCGCACCGAAGCCCGCCCGTTGCCCGCCGGCGCGCGCGCCCGCCCGCGGCCGCGTCATGCGCGCGCGCGCTTGGGGGTCGGGAGTGGGCCGTCCAAGGGCAGCGCCTCAACCTCGTCCAGCTCAGCGCGCTCCCCGAGTTCCTCGTACTCGCGCCGCACGCGGCCGCCGATGGTGCCGGCCGCGTCTTGGTCGGTGCCGTCCGCGTCGGGCGGCGACGGGGCCTCGGCGGGGGCCGCCGCCCCGCGGCGCCGCTTGCCGGCGAGGGCGGCCGCGGGGCGGCCGGCAC